AAGAGATTTATTGAGAAATATTATAGCATCATAAAAATTGAGCATGAAGTTCAAGAATGTATGAACCAGAAAAATAGGGCTGCATCAGTAATACAGAAAGCAGTACGTCACTTTCTCCTTCGCAAAAGACAGGAAAAATTTAATAGTAGAATCACTAAACTTCAGGTAAGTGAAAACTCTATGGTTTTTGATACAGAAATAAAACCAAAATTGAGGTTTTAGTTGAAATGTATCTGTTTATATCATATAAATTTACTGAAAATATTTGTTTTGTAGAAGTAAATGTATATATAAATTCAAAACAATATGGGCTGTAATCTTAAAATTATTCTTTTATCTCTTTAAGGCATTATGGAGAGGCTACTCTTGGAGGAAGAAACATGATTGTACAAAAATTAAAGCTATACGGTTAAGTCTTCAGATGGTTAATAGGGAGATTAGAGAAGAAGATAAACTCTACAAAAGAACCACACTTGCACTTCATTATCTTTTAACGTATAAGCACCTTTCTGCCATTCTTGAGGCCCTAAAACACCTCGGTTAGTTTGTTATAACAATATCTTGCATAAGATTAGGAATGCATTTTTTATATTTGAATATTTAAAGAACATTGTGATTACACAGTATTAACCAAGACTTCATTTTTTCTTGGAGCATTGTAGTGGGGTTCATTTTGCATATAACTTTGTATGCTCCATTTCTTTTGGTGGGGGGGGCAAAGGGGTACCAGGGATTGAACCCAGGGGTGTTCAACCACTGAGCCACATCCCCAGTCTGTTTTTTATTTTTATTTTTTCACTTAGAGACAGGATCTTGCTAAGTTGCATAGGGCTTGGCTAAGTTACTGAGGCTGGCTTTGAACTTGGGAATCATCCTGCTTCCACCTATAAAGCCTCTGAGATTACAGGCATGTGCCACCACACCCGGCCAGTTTGCTCCATTTCAATCCTTTGTACTTCTTCTTCTCCCAGTCCCTCCCCTGTCCTCTTTCTCTATTCAATTGGTCTTCTTTCTGTTTATTTATTTTTCTACTTACCTACATTATAGTTATATATAAAATTGGAATGCATTGTTGTTACTGGAAATTAACATGTGTCTTTTTCTCTTTCAGAGGTTGTTACCAGATTATCTCCACGTTGTTGTGAGAACATGGCTGAGAGTGGAGCAATTTCTAAAATATTTGTTTTAATCCGAAGTTGTAATCGTAGTGTTCCTTGTATGGAGGTCATCAGATATGCTATACAAGTTTTGCTTAATGTAGCTAAGGTAGTTTTCCATTTTAATAATGAAATAATCATTGTTCAAGAAATGTAACTCTGCAAATTAATAGATAGATAGAATTGATAGAATTTATATAAATTATAAAATTGAGATATTACTCTGCAGGATTAAATACATACATCCACATATACACACATCCAGTGTGGACTGGACGAGTCTCTATGAAGTAGAGTAGAAATGCTCTAAATTAGAAATTAGGCTGGGAATGGTGCTGCATGCCTAATCCCAATAGCTCAGGAAGGAGTCAGAAGGATTGCAGGTTCTAAGCCAGCCTCAGCACCTTAGACTATAAGCAACCTAGTGAGACACTGTCTCAAAATAAATATTAAAAAAAAGAAAAAAGCTGGGGATTTGGCTCAGTGGTTAAGCACTACCCTTGGTCTCAATCCATGGCACCAAAAAAGGAAAAAAAACAAAGTTTGAAATTAGGCCTCTAAATTAAAATTCATGTATATGAAGAATCTTGATGAGGAAAAATATTTAATTTATGAATATAACTATAGATATGAATGCTATTTTGTTGTTTTATTTCTATTACTTTTATAATATGAATAATAATATGAATAATAGTATTATTGAGAACTTGCCAGTATTTTTGTACATTATTTAATTTAATCCTTAAAATAATCCTGTAAAGTATCTCATATATTTCCCATTTTATAGAAAAGGAGTGATAATGCTTACAGAAGTTGCATACAATCAGTGGTATTAAGATGAGACATTTACCTTCCTTGCCCACCCTTGAAACCACGACTGTAGTGTACCCAGTATATTGAGGAATAGTGGTTAAGAACATAGACCCAAACTACTGAATTTGAATCCCAGTTCTGCAAGCGGTTATAGATTATTTGGCCTCTCTTTGCTTTACTTTCTTCAACAGTAAAATGAGTATAGAAAAAAATAATACTCATCTCAAAATGTTACTGTGAAGATTAAATGAGTTAATATACTTAAAAGTTCTTGATACATAAACATACCATGCAAGTGTTAGCTATTAATGGTTTCTTATTTTTATGTTAGAATGATTATTTTTTGAAACCATGCAAATTTCAGTATGAATGTAATAGTATCATTAAATAAAGCATGAAAAACTAATCCTAGATTTATTAGTATCAAATTTGTTTTATTCTAAAGTACATCTTCCTCTCAAGAAGGATGTAAAATAGTGTAATTAGATCTTGCCTTACTCATTATCTTACCCTATGACTAACTGTAACAGATAAGTTCTCTTTCATGAGAGAGTCTTGCTAAAATGGTCTTCTCTTTAGAAGCTTGCTTTTATTTACTTCAAGATATTCTTTTTTAGAGATTTTAGCTTTAATTTGTTTTATGTGGAACTTTTGAAGTGGTTAGGAAAGTAAAAGATTAATATGCATATAAGATTCAAATATGATAGGAGTAACAAAAAATTATCTCATGAAGTCCTTTGTACCTTTGGCAGATACTTCAAAGATTTGGCTCTAAGCTGTCTTTACAGTTGGGCAGTTTTAAAGGTGTATGCTTATTACAACTTTTAATTTCATTCTGTTCTCTTCAAGTATGAGAAAACTACTTCAGCAGTTTATGATGTAGAAAACTGTATACACACATTGTTGGAGCTTTTGCAGATGTACCGAGAAAAGCCTGGTGACAAAGTTGCAGACAAGGGTGGAAGCATTTTCACAAAAACTTGTTGTTTGTTGGCTGTTTTGTTGAAGACAACAAACAGAGCCTCTGTAAGTATTGATCGGTTACTTTTCTTTGAGCTTATTTTCTATGTTCTTTTATGTATAGATTTTATGTTTTTCCTTTAGTAACCATTACACTAAAATAGGATTTTGCATGTGATCAAACTTGGGGGTTTTTTTGTTTGTTTGTTTTTATGTTTTGTTTTTTGTTTTTGTTTTTGTTTTTGTTTTTTTGCCTAGTATCAGTGTGTGTGTGTATATATATATTCATTGTTTCATTTTGATATTAAAGAAACTGAATTCTGAAAATAGAATTTATTTCAGTCATGTAAATAAGAATTTCCTACTTACTAGAGAGTATAACAAATTACCTTAGCAGGGTAGGAAATAAGATACGTATAATTCTCTATCCACCTATCATAACCATAAATATGTCTCAAGCTTTTCTGTGCCGAGACATCTGAGTTATTCTCTCCAGGTATCACAATCAACATAAGAGTAACCAGAGCCCTGCCTTTATCCTGATAACTATGGAAACCTCTGAAGCATTTTAAGCAAGAGAATAATATTTTCCTATTTAAGTTTTAGCATCACCCTGGCTACTGACTGAAGAATGAATTTGTGAGAGCATGTATAGATATGGGGAGACCATTATAGGAGGCAAATGTAGATATGTAGTGGCTAGACAAGAGATTATGCTTCACCTAGGGTTGTGTCAATGAGAGGTAAGTGGATGATTCTAGAAAGTTAGAAGAGGTAAAATTCATAGGACTTAGTAACTAGATATGACAGGTTATATTGAGTATAGTTCCTTTTTGCATTCAGTATCGAGTTAAATGTACAATTTTTGAATATTTCTCCTCTTTATAATTGTCTTACATATTATTTCACAATTTAAAATAATTTGCCTACTATACTTAGAGAGCCGTGCTCTTGATTGTTAAAAGCTCGAAAGCCTACTGCATAGTATTCAAAGGATTGATTTTGTTATTCTAGGAGAGATTGAATTCTTATTAGGTTTTAGTAAATGTACACTTTCTTTTTTAGGATGTACGAAGTAGTCCCAAAGTTGTTGACCGCATTTATAGCAT